AAGATAGAAGAGTTGAGCTGACTAATAAAAAAGATCTTGTATTTCTACTAAAAAGATTCTATTTTCATGCAAAATCAAGAAGACAATATTTCACTTGACGAACATCGTTAGTAACTTCTCAGTTCCTGAAAATAAAGATTAACATTTATTTTATACTTACAGATGCAACATGAAGTGGTACGCAATTGTCGACGAGAGAAAACGATAAGATTAAGCAAACATCCAACTATACCAAATATTAACCACGTTGGATATACATATCGAATTAGTTGCTGCTGGATCATGGCAAGTTTAGCTATCAAAGCTGATGACGAGGGCATACGGTTTCAATGTTTTTATTTTCAGAAACTAACTGAAATGGATAGATCATTAAGAATTTCTCCTTGGATTTAGGAATCTAGAAAAAAAAATAAGAGAATTAAGAAGGAGTTTCATAGGGTAGATTTTTTTTCTATATATTTTTAAGAGAGAAAAAATCCTATTAACCTGATTAAAGTTTTATTTTGAGAATAGAGTCAGAGTGGTTTTCACCAAAAAGGAAAGTAGTTAATTATGCTATGGAAAGACGATGAACATGACAAGACCCCTTTTTTTAACAGACCTACATATTTTCAAGCTTACTGTTTCTCCATGGATTTACTACATATTTGTTAATTCATAAAACTCCATACGATTTAGAAAAGACTACTGCAACACATTAGAAATTTTCTATTCGAACTTGCCTCGATTCCATCCAAGCAGTCACTAAAAAGAATATTTTCCTATTCGTATATTATCTATCACATCTTTATTTTCTACTTGAAATAAAACACTTGTGAGTTGATTTTCTCGCTAGAGACTCATTATATATGTTCAGTAAATGAATATATATGCAAAAATCATTTATTTATTTTAAAAGAATGTTCTATATGAAATATAACATATCAAATAATCGTAGCTATTGTAAATCATTACCAACGAATCAATAAAAAGTGAATTGGTTTCTGCTTGTATGATTGATACGTTCGTGTACGCTAAGTCTATGAAAATTGATCGAACGCTGCGTAGTCAAAAACATTTTAGGAGAAAAAACAAAAGTTTTTTTTAATTAAAAATTTGTCACTAAACAAATGAAGTAAACAGATGCATAAGAAAAATAATAGACAAAAATCATTTGAATATCTGTATATTATTTTAAAAAAATTGCATACTACTCTGATATTTATATATACGCACAGTAACAAGTAGCGGCAGGCTTGTATTTTCAACATATTGCCAAATATAAAAACACATTTAAAAAAAATTACACATTCTAAAATTGTTCTCTGTTGTCTATCACTTCACTTATTGATGTTTTACTTTACAATTATGTACTACCATTATAAATCGAGTGTAAAAAAGCATTCTCATCATCGGATAAGTACGAACTGTATTTTATCTTTAGTATCAAACTTAGTTTCTAAAAATTTTCACTACAATAGAATTCCTTTTTCTAATTAACTAATTTCATATTGCGATAGAACTTGAAATTTTCTATCATTCCATACATTTATTTACTGTATTAAATACATTTATGGAAAAAATAATTTGAGTGTCGTGAACACATCTGCAATCGACAGATATCAAAGATCGTTACTTTTTCTTCTTTTTATTAAAATAGAATTACTATGAAAATTAATTTAAAAAAAGCAATTATATTTTGATAAAAGAAGAAAAAGTAACGATCTTTGGTATGTGCCAATTGAAGGTATGTCCACTATACTCAAATTATTTTTCAATAAATCTATTTCATAAGGTAGATAAATATATGGAATAATAGAGAATGTCAAGTTCTATCAGAATATATAATTAGTTTATCAGAAACCGGAATTCTATTGCAATGAAAAATTTTAGAAATTAATTTTGATAATAAGGATAAAATTAATACTGCGTAAATCTGATAATGACAATGTTTTCATTACATTCGATTTATTTTGATAGCCTATAATTGTAAACTAAAACATTCATACGTAGGATGCTAAAAAATAAGCATTCTCAGAATATGTAATTATTTTTTTTAATGCGTTTTTATAACGACGATATATTGAAAATCCGGCTTACAGCTATTTTTTGTTACAGATGCGTATATCGTATACACTTTAATATATTTTTTGTATTAGAATTATTACATCAGCATGTTATGAGGAAGATATATATATATATATAAACTAAAGATACATGAAACGTTTCTATCAAGTCAAAGATGTTTAACCTGAGTTATACCTGTGTGTTATTCAATTACGCGTCTGCATTTTACACAACTATTGAGAACAATGAGGAGAAATTGTCCTTCGTGTATAAACTATGATTTGCTTCCTTTTGAATATATATAATTTAATTTCATGAAAAATATATATGCTACTGCAATTAGTCTCAATTTCACCTTTACATGTGAGAATTTGAGGTTGTTTCTAAAACTAAGTTTTGCTCTGTATTATAAAATTTTTCCATTGACTTTGGCCAAAGTCCTGGTGAATTTCGATTGCCATGAAATTCAAATTTCTATACATCATTATGTAATGAATGATACAGAATTGAAATCCGTAGGCCTTTTTTCTTATCGGCACCGGCAATCGGCACCGACGTAAACCAGTTAGACAGTACCGAATCAACCCGTAGACCGTTATGAGTAATTTTTTCTCTTTTTTCATTCTATAAGAGTCAAATGAACATCACGATTAACCATATCTATCTCTGTGCCACTAAAGAAGTTACATAAGACTCATGTTTCACTATTGTAGTGCTTTTATGAAATAGAATTGTTAAATTTGTTGAAGTAAATGGCGAGAAAATTGAATCTACCCTTCAGTTTACTTCAAAAAATTCTATAAACATGCAGATGTTCTTTGAACTTACTAATAAACTGTGATAGAGATGTCGTTATATCTATCACCATCTGTAATCATGAGGCGGATTTTTCGATATGCTGGTTTTTGGTCTGTTTCGGTCTGACATATAGATGATAAGGTTTCCCACAATGGTTATATCACAATAGATTTATGTTTTAATCCTACATACCTCTGCGAAAGATATGGTATAAACAATACAAAACGAAAACAAATGTACGATAAATCATACTGATGGACAGTGATTTCATTTTGTTTTAAAAACATAACTTGATAAGATATATTAAGCGCATTTCGATGAATATTCACTTAATAGAAATATTCAAGGCATGTGCTATTATAGAAAAAAATTGTCATTTGAAACAATAAGAAAAGTTCTGATTTACAAAAAAAACACTTCTACGATTATTTTTTGAAGAAAATTCAAAAAACTCTATACTGGCCTGGATTGGACCGCAATTTACATTATCGGTTATATTTCTCAGATGATACAAGATCAGCAATACCATTGCAGTCGTCTAAATAAAATATCTATGTCATGTAGCTAAAATTCCTTTTTACAATTCCTAGTTTGACATTAGATTGAACCAAATAATTCATTTTAATTTGATAGGAATGCAGAGATGGTATCCATATTGTTGGGCTTCAGTTTAGCCAAGAACTTTATTCTTAACAAATAAGTATCCCTAGACGAACTTCTTTTGGTTTGCGCAGGAGATACTTGAGAATCTTGATCAAGAAAGTCATGCGCTATGGACAAATCTTCAGGCAAGACTTGAGACCTTTCGGCAAGCTCAAGCTCGTGAGCTTCTTGTTCTATCGCTTGATATTCTTGCTCATGCACTTGATATTCTTGCACATGCGCTTGAATTCTTATGCAAGCATTTCTGTTATTCAAGAATTTTTTATATTTTTTTTTTTCAGTTTTAC